CAGAGGTTTTATTGGCTTGATTATTATTGTTATTTTGACGACATAGTTTTGCGTCGTGTCCGGTTTTAGAACATGACAGGTTATAATTCGTTGTTGGATTACATTTACAGGTTGGCGATATTGAGGATCGCGCAGGCGACATTTATCTGCACTGTGTCCGCGTTTTTTACAAATCTGGCAAATCAGAATTTCGGTTCCCAAGTCTCCTGGAAGTTGATCCAAAGAGGATGACTGTGTGAGCTTCCTGCAGTTATTAGCCACGTGTCCTTCTTTATAACAGATCTGGCAAGTTTCTCGTATTCGCGGCTTGTTTTGACCTGAGTGAGTCTCTTGTCCCTGTCGTAAATCTGTCATTGCCCGAAGTTCTCTTTCTATTCTTAAAGCGTCAGCAACGGTTCCATGCACGTCTAAGTCTCTCGCAATTCTTTGTTCTATTTCGGGTTTGAGTCCTCGGATAAAACATTTGCACATGTCACCTTCTAATGATGCTTTTATATTTTGATCAGGTAAAGAACGACTAGTACTACGGTATGCTTCTAAAATCTGTTTTCCCAGCAATTTTACGCGATTTGCATATGTGACTACATCTTCTTCATTTTTTTGGTAAACGCGTCCTAATTCTCCTTGTAGTATGTATACATTTTTAGAAGGTCCGTAAATTTGTTTTAAATATGAAGTCAAATTGGATACTGTGTCAAAATCTTGATCTTGGATGGTTCATCGGGCTTCGCCGACTATTCGGGTTCTTATTACTTTGGTAAACTGTGCTTCAGCTTCTTTAGGTAGCATGGATTTAGCTTCCTCACATCCTTCGATAAAATAACTGAGCGGAATATTTTTACCATCGAAAAAAGGAACGGCTTCAACCGCGTATTTTAAGGTAGCAAATGGGTTTTGGTGAGTCATGGTTTCGGACCTATCAAAATCTTTTTCTGCTTTATAAATACGAGTATTAGTAAGTGTGTAATATTCTTGGCAAGTTATATCGCCGGAATTGTCAGTATTTGGCTCGGGCGTGTCGGCTATTAAAATAGTATTATTTATGCTTGTGTCTGTGTTCTCTAAAGAAAGATCAAAATGTCTTGGTATAGATCCTACAGTTCTTTTTGGAGTAGATGTATGAGGTAAACCGGAAGTAGATGACGTAATTCCAATTTTAGATTTAGATTTTTTCTCTTCCAAAGCGAGTTTATAAAATTTTTCTACTTCTTTTTTATCGGCTTTACCTCGAGTCCCGACACTCATTCCTGTTTCCTTGAATCGCGCATATCAATCCCGGACGAGCCCCCAAAAATTACGTATGTTACGTCCAGGCCCGAGGAAGGATGGGCCGAAGGAAGGGCGTAACACGTGTATCCCAAGAACAAGTGCCTTAAGGGCAAGTGTCTCGGGTCGAGCGAGCCTGCGGGTGAGCCAAAGATAGGTCAACGACCACAAGAGTCGATTTTACGCTATTTCTGGTTCAAATGCCCGCTCGTCGGTCCCCTTTTAGGTAAAGGAACTTAATCCTTTTTACCCGGGACGGGACCAAGTGCGATTCAGGAGCGTGGGTAACGAGGGGGGGGGGAAGAATTGATTAACTTGAAGTTAAAAGAAATAAAATTAATTAAATTTATTGTACATTATAAAAGGATAAAATTTACATCAACATTTTAATTAGTTATTACTCTAGCACAATATTAAGTGTGATTGTTTGTGGGTACATTAAGCGTGATTGTGTGTATATGTGAGACGGGGTGAGGTTGGTCGGAATCTGGAGGATATCTTTCCCGGAAGAATTCTACGGGAATAGCGATGGGGTATCTTGTGAAGGGAGTAAAGCAAGGTATGGGAATGTCGGGAGGAGCGGTGCGGAGAAAGGCCGTGAGCGTTGGAATATGAATGGGACCAGGGCCCAAGGTGAATTGACCCGGGAGGATGGGGTGAAAATACAGAGGGTAAGTCAGGCTGAGAATTTCGGAGAGGATCCGATCACTAAGATCGATGTCGGAGTAAACAGGGGGAGGAATAAGAGGAGGAGACAAGGGATGAGGATCTGGGACTGGCGAGTGGGATGGAGAAGGAGAAGGTGATAGCGGCGGGAAATCAGACTGAAGGTCAGATTGTGCGTCATACACCGGGGAGTAACTGGGAGGAAGAGTTCCGGAAAGCAGATATGGAGAATAATTAGGGGAAGGAGTGCGAGGGGGCAGATGTGAGGAGTCTCGCGTGTCTCCTTGAAAATTATTTAAAAAGATCCGCGTAATAGCGAGATCCGCGTTTATTTGACTTAAGTCTAACGCAAATGAGGAATCAGCCGCAGCCCGAGTCAGCAGTCGGCGGGTACGTCGATTACAGCGATATCGAAGTCGCTTAGCGTGGGCTCTAGCGGATTTCCTCATGGGTTCCACTAGAGAAACGATTATTATGAGTAAAGGAAGTAGACGGGGGAGGGGGAGGAACTTTGAAGATAAAAGAAAAGACTTACTATTTGAAAAACGTGGACAAATCGATACGAATTATCGCTGGACCCCCCTTGGCGTTGAGGATGGCGAGATATTGATAGTTGATGAAGACGGTGGTTGCTGCTGAGCCCCCTTGGTGTAGGTTTTTGCACTGACTCGATATGAAAGTTGATATGTCTCGAAACTTTTGAGTGCGTATATGAACGCCTGAGTCAATGAATGAATTTCTGACTGAACGAATTTTCCTCTCGAATTTTTCTGCGAAGTGTTGTTCGAAGTTCGCGCTTATATATCGTTTTGGATTACCCTCTCCTAGCGTGAGGAATAAGGGAGGTTGACGAATAGAAATCTTTGTTAGATTTCCATGGTCTTCTCTCTGCCCCTACTTATGAGCATTTTAGAACAAATGTAGCAAATCAGGATTTTATTACGTTCGTTCGCGAATAGGAGAGCATCTTCCAAAACGGGGGATTTAGGATTCTCAGTATCGCACAAGGGATGATTGTTACTACCCTCTTGCGATATTCGGTCACTCACGTTTTATGATTAGTTTCCTTTATTTTTTGATTTTATGAGTTTTTAAGAAAATATCGAATTTGTTTGACTGAATGCCGCTTTATTTAACCGGATGCTACTTTTATAGCCTGTTAACATCCGATTGTTATTTTAGGACATGTACTGAGCATCCCGTTTTAATCTAGCTATTATTATCGGCTCTAGAAATCGTGTACGTGTGCACCGGATACGGGAAAGAAGAGAATCGTAACATCCGATATCCGATCACTCGCGTTTTATGATTAGTTTCCTTTATTTTTTGATTTTATGAGTTTTTAAGAAAATATCGAATTTGTTTGACTGAATGCCGTTTTATTTAACCGGATGCTACTTTTATAGTCTGTTAACATCCGATTGTTATTTTAGGACATGTACTGAGCATCCCGCTTTAATCTAGCTATTATTATCGGCTCTAGAAATCGTGTACGTGTGCACCGGATACGGGAAAGAAGAGAATCGTAACATCTGATATCCGATCACTCGCGTTTTATGATTAGTTTCCTTTATTTTTTGATTTTATGAGTTTTAAGAAAATATCAAATTTGTTTGACTGAATGCCGCTTTATTTAGCCGGATGCTACTTTTATAGCCCGTTAATATCCGATTGTTATTTTAGGGCATGTACTGAGAATCTTGCTTTAATTTAGCTATTATTATCGGCTCGAGAAATCGTGCACGTATGCACCGGGTACGGGAAAGAAAAGAATCGTGAATTCCCCTGGACGTAACACAGGATTATCAACTGTCGACGGTCACTTATGGAACTGCTTCAGCTCCGTTCCTTGCTCTGAGAGTGCTGAAGCAACTGTTAATTGACGAGGACGCCGCGTACCCCCTCGCCACTCCGATTCTTCAAGATAACATTTATGTGGACGACGTTTTGTTCGGAACAAATAACCCGCAATTGCTACGTCAAGCGCGCGAACAAGTATGCGCGCTATTATCTCGTGGCGGATTTACTTTGCGAAAGTGGGCTAGCAACAGTTCCGATTTGCTATCAGATATTCCAGAAGAAGGTCATGGACTCGCCGGAAATAGATCACTCACGCTTGAGGAAAATTTCAGCGTCCTAGGATTGTCATGGAATCCCGCGTGTGACGCTTTTCAGTTCCGAGTTTCTCTTCCACAATCACTTCCAAACACGAAGAGAACAATTTTGTCAACGATTGCTAAATTATTCGATCCTTTAGGATGAGTCATCCCGTGACAATCAGCGCGAAAATCTTTATGCAACAGTTGTGGAAATTAAAGGTAAACTGGGACGATGTCATTCCGTTACAAACCACTCAGCGCTGGGAATCAATTTATCAAATCTTATCCGCTCTAGACAATCTTCAAATTCCTCGGTGGACGGGTCAAGATCAGGACACTATTCAATGCGAGTTGTATGGATTTGCAGACGTGTCAAACGTCGCTTACACCGCCGCAGTCTACATGCAAACGACATCGTGATCCGGGGAGATAACGATCACTTTATTAACCGGCAAATCCAAAGTTGCGCCAATTAAAACAATGAGTATCCCTCGACTCGAATTACAGGCAGCTTTCCTTCTTGCACGACTAATCGAGTTTATTCAAGCATCACTGCATCTGTCAAGTATTACTTGTCATTGCTGGACGGATTCCACCGTAGTATTAGCATGGTTAAGCTCGCATCCATCAAGATGGAAAACTTTTGTCTCTCGAGTTGCCGAGATACAGTCACGATTACCTAATATCAAATGGCGTTACATCCCATCCGCGGAAAACCCAGCTGATTGTGCTTCTCGAGGTATTTCAAACCCTGAATTCAGTTCCTTTAATTTGTGGTGGCACGGTCCTCCCTGGCTCAAACTTGCTCAAACCGAATGGCCAAAGGACCCCGCTCCTCCGCTTGAGGAAACCCCCGAAGAGAATCGGAGCCTTACCGTACATTCAACTCAAACAGAGGCCGGTTGGGACCTAGCGACCAGATACTCTACCTGATACTCTACCCAAAATTGATAAGAGTCACGGCATATCATGCGATTTGCGAATAAGTGCCGCAAAAAGAGTCCAACTACACGCTGCTCAGAAATTCAAGATCAAGCTTTATCGGCAACGGAATGCCGAAATGCGCGTCATTTTTGGATCCGAGTCATTCAAGCGGTGATATTTTCAAAGGAGTTTCAAGCACTTCGGAACAATCAACCACTCCCATCAGGATCACCTCTCGCAGCACTGCGACCGTTTCTAGACGAAGAGGAAATCATTCGAATCGGCGGACGCCTAAGACATTCCGCACTCTCGTTCGCGGCTAAAAATCCAATATTATTAGCCCCTCATCCGATTGTCAAGCTTATTCTACGGCACTCTCACGTTCGAGCCCTACACGCTGGCGTTCAACTCACCTTAGCCACAGTGCGCCAAGATTACTGGGTTCTTCGGGCGCGAACGCAAGTCAAACAGATTATTCACCAATGCGTTAACTGCGTGAGAGAAAAGGCCGAAATTCCTGCGCAATTAATGGGCGATCTTCCGCAAGCTCGAATATCTACGCCCGCTCGAGCGTTCAGCCACGCAGGAGTGGATTACGCAGGTCCTATCGTCACTCGCGCATCATCCGGTCGCGGAATTACTGCACGAAAAGGTTATATCGTGCTATTTATCTGCCTGGCTTCCAGAGCTGTGCATTTGGAATTAGCGAGCAATTACTCCACCGAAGCCTTTTTAGATGCTTTCTCTCGCTTTTGCGCTCGACGCGGTCTTCCATCCACAATGTACTCCGATAACGGTACCACTTTTGCAGGAGCCGACACCGTGTTATCAAAAGCGTATCAGAACGCAATGCGTAATCCCGATTTCCAGAACAAAATTGCGACTGAAAACATTATCTGGCACTTCATTCCTCCTCACGCCCCGCATTTCGGCGGGCTTTGGGAAGCCGGAGTTCGCAGCGTCAAATATCACCTGCGACGTATTCTGGGCGCTCATACGCTAACATACGAGGAGTTTTCAACTCTCCTCTGTCGTATTGAGGTCTGCCTCAATTCTCGACCTATCGGTCCACTCACAGATATTCTCGATGACTACAGCCCCCTTACCCCGGGTCATTTTCTAATCGGCTCATCAATCACGGTGAATCCCGAGCCGTCGATTTTATCCGTGAACGAAAATCGCCTTTCTCGCTGGCAATTAATCCGCCAACTTACGGAGCGGTTTTGGAAAATTTGGCAGACTGATTATGTCAATACTTTGCAACAACGCATAAAATGGAGACAAGTGCAACCATCTGTAAAAACTGACTCCATGGTCTTAATCCGAAACCCATTACTTCCGCCGTGCAAGGGGAATTAGGCCGGGTCACGCAATGCCATCCGGGACCCGACGGTTACGTTCGCGTAGTCACAGTGCGCACCGCGCATTCTGAGTACAAAAGACCGATAGTTAAACTATGCGTCCTACCGGTCGACATCGAATATCCGGCAACTAACTCTCCGAACGACAATTAAATTATTCCCCAAACTGCGAATAAGAATCCGCCAAAATGTATATATGTATAGTTGTAAATATTTCAATAGGCTAAGCTGCAAATCTGTAAATATATAAATAGTAAAATGTAAATATGTAAAACCGCAACGATTCATGCGTATACGTCGCACTCAGATGCGAAATTATTTCGTCACGGCGGGCGGCATCAGGCAATTATTTCGAAATTAACATTTCGAGGCGGGCGGTATGTTCAGGATTCGCCCTGAATTTCGAGCGAAAATATCACCCCCGGTAATACTGGCGCCATCCGTGCGCGCCAAAGCCAACTCACGAAATAATTCAGCCAATAATTCAGATGTTTTTTCGAAATCAGCCAGGATCCGTGTGATAGCGGAACAATACATGATCCTGGCCAATTAGGCAATCGGAAAATCACGCGATTCTACGTGCCTAAACCGGATAGGCTCAAATCGGATCATCCGATGCGCCATCAAATCCTTATTATCCGGGAGAAAGGCTCTCCCCCGAGCAGTCTTTCAAAAGTCCTGATCACGAGTCATTGCGAGAGTTCGAACGAATTTTATAAAGTCATTGTCGGATTATAGAGCAGCGAGAACCGATATTTGCAAGCGCGTTGAAACAATGTAACGTGCCAAATACAATTATCCTTAATCGACGAACTTTGTATAAAATATCGCGATGGATCAACGAACAATTAAGTTAACGATAACTGAATCCGTTCAACACGTGAACGTTCTGAGCGCGAGTGCCGGGATTCGTCTGAGCGCCTCCACTCTCAGTCAGAGGTGGAGCCTGTCTCTCCTTGAGCCTCCGCTCATTCGCCGAACATTGGACAGTGCGGTCTCGCTCGCTCTCACGCGAATGGCAGATAGAGCGCCGTCTCGTTCGCTCTCACAGACAGCCCGATAGAGCGCTGTCTCTCTCACAAGGAGATGCCACGAAGTGCGAACTCTACTTTCGAATGAACTATAGTGCATTCGAAAGGGAAGGTAAAATTATTAAACCATGTCAGAGGTTTTGGGTGTATGGGCCTTAGTTTCTAAGAAATATGTATCTAAATTTAAGCATTTTCTAACTGTAAGGGAAGTACGATAGATAATGAACATTTAGCATGAAGCGCGGTAGCCGTAGTGGTTAAGCGTGCGTCTAATATTTTGTCACATGCCCAAGCTAGGTTCGAGACCGCCTGTGTGAATTTTTTTTTTCAAATGACTATTTAATTAAATTTTTTTAAATTCTTGTACATGATTTATTCTGCTGATTTTTTATGTTTTATTAAATATTTTGCACTTATGTGTTGTAAAAAAATGATAATAGCTTTTATATGTTTTTTATGTCTATTTATTTATTATAAAATTCTGACATCGCTGTACAATGTTGAGGATGAAAATCTATATAAAAGCATTGAAAACATAAATGATTCGCACACCATGAACATTTTATAAATGGAAGCCGTGTTTTACAAATACATTTATTGTTCTGTACATTAGGTGGAAAACATAACTGATTAACGTTATAAAATATATCGCGTTCATTTGCTAACTTCGACGCGTACCAAGCAAATTCGATCATTTTTCTAAACTTTGGAGGAGATAATAAATAATGGGTTAATGATTATATTCGTATCGCGTCATATCGCGAATTCAATTCTTTTTCTTCTTCGCTAACTATAATATCCGGACAGTTTTGAATTCTTTTTATAATAATTTTTACTTGTATATAGAAATAGACGTCACAAGGTTGACAGATCGGAGTGCATTTCGGCGGAATTATTTGTAAATTACATGTTGGTTTGTTATCGTCATTTACAAAAATTTCATTATACATGTGAATATTTTTTTGACCTCCCCACGAGTCTACAATCATCAAGAAGGAATTGTTTTTAATATACGGTTTTATGATTGTTTTTAAATATTCTTCATATAAATAAGAGATCAGTTTACCCGACTTTGAGCAAACAACAACAACATTTTTACACAGTTTTAAAAGCTCGTCAACTTCTACTTTTACACGGACTCCAAATGTATCTCCCGGTTCTTGTAGGCATACAAATACTTTATCTATTAATTTTTCAGATTTTGTGAGAGTATATTGAGCGGTGTATGAATGAGTTATCTTATTTAAATCACCTATGGAAAGTTCGACTGCTTTTTCTCCCGTATGCGTGTATGTTCTTGAAACATTTACTCGATATTCACAACCAGTTTGATCCGTATTAATAATATAATCGGGATCATAATCGCCAGAAATTGATTGTATTAAATCTTGAAATTGTTTCGCAGATTTCGAAATTTCTTCCGGTGATTTAATTTCTTTTTTTGATATATAGCGTATGACGCGACGACTAGAAATTCTATAACTTGTAAGAAAATTAGTTAACCACGATGCCGATGCTGTAAATTGAAAAACGCTCTTTTCTTCATTGTCTTCATCTCGAAATTATGTTGCAGCAGCTATAGCCCACTGCTGTATTTGCCGCCTTGTTACCAATTGTTTCTGTTCACGCGCTTCAGAAAATCGATCGTAGACATTTTTCTTTATAATGTCCAATTTATCTACATATGTACCACCTTTTATGATACCTTTTTTAAAACGTGCTATATCACTTTTGTTCCGTAAGTGTTGTTTAAAACGCTTTTGTAAACCTTGAAAGCTCCACGTTGGATGTTCATTCGCGGTCATAACAATTTTCAATTTTATATCGAGGGGCACTCTATCTACAGGGTGACTCATTTTAACTTAGGCAGCCAAATAACTCGAAAAATAAGCACACTACGAAAAAATGGTTAGAATCAAAATTTCGTCATTTCGAGGGGGACGTACAATGACGTTAAAATCAGCCCCCCACCCCTCCCCCTGGGCGGTGAGGGGGGGCAAGTTTGAAATCTTAAATGGGAACCCCTATTTTTTATTGCATATTCGGAATCTTTGGCTAAAAACACATACAATTTGTCTGAAACATTTTTCTCGATTCATGACAGATGGCTCTGTAATCGACGAAATTCAATTTCTTCGATTTCTCTTACTGAGAACCCATGCTTACGATTCTGCAATAAATTAACAATAAAAATACTACGTTTTCATTGTTAATACTCGAAATTAGTCTTAAAACAAACTTCTCATTATTTTTTATTACTTCTCAAGAAACTGCTTTTAGCGTAACCCAGGAACAACGACGTGGACGTAGCAGTTTTCTGTTCCCTTCGGGGTGCTTGATTAACGTGAGTCCCCTCGCCTCTCATAATTCGGGGTGCTTGAACGTGTGGTAACCCAGCCAGTGAAGGCAAGGTCGTGTGATGACCCAACCAGTTAAGGCAAGGTCAAGTAGTGACCTAGCCAGTGAAGGCAAGGTCGTGTGGTGACCCAACCAGTTAAGGCAAGGTCAAGTAGTGACTCAGCCAGTGAAGGCAAGGTCGTGTGGTGACCCAACCAGTTAAGGCAAGATTGCATTGTTATCAGCTCTCTCCGCATGGAGGAGATGCTCAAAGTGTGCACCATTATTTTCTAAGGATAACAGTAATCGACAGCGAAAGTTACGTTGTACATTTTCTAGCATTAAAGGAGTTATAGCTTCACAAGCTCTTCTTATTCTTTCCATCATATTCAATCTTGTCGTTGGAGCTTCACTATACACTGCATCTTTAACGTATCCCCATAAAAAGAAATCAAGGGGGTTCAAATCCGGTGATCTCGGAGGCCACAGAACTGGTCCACCCCGCCCTATCCACCGATTTGGGAACCTTTGATTCAAAAACATCCGTACAATACGAGCATAATGAGCAGGAGCACCATCTTGTTGATACCATAAATTTAGTCTAACTGCAAGGGGAACATTCTCTAGGTATGCTGGCAAATCATTTTCGAGGAATTCTAAATACATTGGACTATACAATTGGACGTTCAAAAAAATGAGGTCCAATGACTTGACCTTTGCAAATGCCTACCCATACATATAAACTCCAACGATGTTGATTAAGCACCTCACGATACCAATGTGGATTTTCTGGTGACCAATAGTGGCAATTATGCCTATTGAGACTACCATTGCTGATGAATGTTGCTTCATCACTGAAACAAACATTACTAAAAAAATCTGGATTCTAATCTAACATCTCAAGAGCCCATCTACAAAATTGTACTCTGAGTACGTAGTCGGCCTCACTTAATTCCTGTACCAGAGTAATATGATACGGATGGTAATTGACTGATCGTAACAATCTATGTGCCGTAGTTTGAGGGATTCCCAGTTCTCGTTCTATTTGACGGGTACTAATATGGGGATTTTGATGAACCATAGCCAAAACTGCGAGCAATCTAGGGTCATTATTATTATGAAGTCTATTCCTTCGCCTTTCGCGATGAAGTGGATTATTATGAGATCTCCTTTCAATGTTTATAATTTGTTGATCAGTAGGATGGCGGCGATTTGGGAATCGCTCCGCATAAGTACGGGCAGTAAGTCTCTAATTTCTACCACATTCACCAAAGGTTATAAGAATATCGACTACTTCTGTAGGCGTATAATTTGCCATTTTACCAGAATTTTATCAGAGTACAAATGTTAAAAAAATACATAACTTGTGACTTTGGCACTAAATGGACAAAATTTTGGAGGGATAGTTAGAGGAACTCCATCAGATGGAAAGTCCAAAATGTCGGTACTTCGGACCATTCAAGTTGCCTAAAGGGCAGGTTACGCTAAAAGCAGTTTCTTGAGAAGTAATTAATGAGTAATAAAAAATAATGAGAAGTTTGTTTTAAGACTAATGTCGAGTATTAACAATGAAAACGTAGTATTTTTATTGTTAATTTATTGCAGAATCGTAAGCATGGGTTCTCAGTAA